ATATAAATAAATAAATAAATAAATAAATAAATCATGCACTTTTAATAACAAACTGGTGCTTGGTATCTTAAAGACAAGGAAGATGTTGTATTTAGGGGGAGGTCTATCCCAGGCTGCTTGTTTTCTTCATTTCCATTCAGCTCCCCTTCCGTCTATCGATAGATCACTTTAATTACTGTCCTTCTTCTCCAGATATGGACGGGAAGCTGTGCACCAGTGACTTCATGGTGAATATGACGCTAACAGTTCATAGTTGGGTGGTCCCGTCTGCAGAGCTGGCCCGCCGCCTTTTGACTTTATATCCTTTTGGGAACACAAACAGCCTCCCCTTAAGGTTTCTTTCCAAGGTGCAGTCTTGAAGGGGCTGGTGGCAGTTGTGGGATATGAAACAGTTTTCATGCTGTTGTTTGCTGGTGACAATGTCAACAACTCCTGGCAAAGCCAAAGACTCTGAAGGGGCTGATTTTATATAAAATGGGTTGGTTAGTTGGTGATATAGCTTGCTGAGCTGTTATTTTAGAACATTGCATGAATCAGGCCATGATATAGTTTGTTTCACCCAGCACATACAGTTGAACCTGGACATGGGGTTTCATGCATTATATGAACCCAGCAAACTTCTTTGCCAAATCTCCAGTCGAAGCTATAGGAACAACTTTAAAACAAGCACTACAGTATGCTTCAGTGGCATACTTATTTTTTAACAAGCACATTGTACTCTAAGGATCTCCAGGAGTTTTAGCGTTTGCAGTGAATGATAATTCCCAGTGAACAGTTTCTTGGTCACTCACTGAATTACTGTAGCTCCTCGAGAATTAACTTCCTTGGGGGCAATTATGCCAGTTAATTAGTGTAAGCTTTGTAGTGCAAGGCACTATTGAACTAGTGAACGAAGAAGGCAGCTCAACCTTCAAATACCCAAACAGATCAGAAGTTATGTGAAAAAATGCTCAGGGATTACGTTACTCCCCCTCTTACTTAACAGAGTCCTGCTAGAAGGCCTCACATAGTAAAGTGATTTGGTTAGTACATCTGAAAGGAAGGGAGAGAAGCGAATATCAGCAAAAAATTCCTGGATCCTTTCCCCAAGGACTTGAGAAGGATGGGTAAAGCCTTAACTCAACCTGTTACGTATCAGGAATCATCCCAGGACAAGAACCCTGCACGCCAGCTGAGGATTTGCCACTTTGTCCGGTCTGAGCTCTTTCTCCACTACCCTGTTTCTTCCCCCCCCCCATCCTGACTGGATGCCCAGTCTACCTCCCCAAACTGTGGGGAAGGGAGGAACCAGCAACTCCAACCTGAACCTCTTGCTCTGCTTTCAGGTACTGGCTTGGAAACTATCCGGAGGCTTTTCGCCTGGACCCACACTTGGAGGAGGTGATCACAGAAATCTTGGAGGTGGTGAGGAACCAAGGCCCAGAAAGACACAGCAACTTGCTTGATGCATCCTGCATGTGAGTGGCAACATCCGGTTCAGAAATGGGAACTGCTCTGTGGAAGGGAGGGGAGAGGCAAGTGAGGATTCCATGTGGCATTGTTTTGTGTTTTGCAAAAGGGTGCTCTTGTGGAGGGAAAAATGAGAAACTGAATGCTTCCCACAAATGAGTATTAACTGCATGACCCTTCACAAAGATAGCTGTATAGATCCATCTGAGTTATTGCTAGAGCATCTCATCAATCAATGTGCCTCTGCTGCATTGCTCTTAGAAAAACAAACATGTTCCATTTATGTTGAGTTAAAAAATACACCTCACTGCAGAGAAATGGGTGAATTGAGTCTCATCTATCAGAATGAGATGGACTCAGGGGAATTTACAAGGGCTCCTTTTTAATTTTATCTTAAGATGTCTCCTTACTAGAGTGCATTAATAAATGTTCCCCATACTTGCTTTCAGGAGAAGCGATATCTCTTGGTCTATAATGCACATGAATTCTTACTATTTTTTTCCTTAGATTTTTCCTTAGATTCCTTAGATGTTCAGAGAAAACACAAGACATAAAGACAATTTATAGCTAAAACAACACAAGCCACAGATACAAATACATAGATACAGAGTTTATGAAGTATTAAAATGGATAAATTAAAACATAAATAAAATCATAAAAAGAGCTGACAAAGGAAATGCAATAGATTCTCTATAGGCAGGCAGAGTGGGGGCTAAGTACTCCACTGAATGGAGTCCATTTTATTTTCCGAGAGCTATGCTGAAGACTTTTCAATGCAATCTGAAGGGACTGGTAGCACTTTTCCCAATGAACAAACCTCACAAAAGCTTATGCCTTTTAATTTGTTAGTCAGAAAAGGCACTACCAGACTCCTGATTTTTTGCTACCATAGACCGACATGGCTCTCCTCCTACAATGTCTACAATGCAATCAGAGACTCTAAAAGGTCCTGGAATCAGACTGTATTTGTGCAGCCCACCGCCACTCCTCTCTTCTCCCTACATTCCATCTCCATGTAGTGTTTTTCTTCATTGTGCTTTGCCCATAGAACGCAATAACCCAGGAATCGGGAGTGGTTGGGCAAATCTGAAATACAGAATTAACTCTTGGCTTTTTATTTTAGCTGATTAATTTTGTAGGCATTCATGGAAAAGACTGATCTATAGCAAAATGTATTTTGAATGCAAGCTCCTCTGGGGGAGCGGGGGAGGTCCAGGACCACTGCCCATCCTTTAAAAAAATCTTCTGATTCAATAGCAAGAGACAGTGATTCAGCAGGTTCTCCAAAGATGTTGCCAAATCATTGTGAGGATGCAAAACAGAGGAAAGTCCAACCAACATGTCACATGGTAAAGATAAACCATCAGTGAAGAAAATCCATGGGTGCTGCCTTAACACCCATTCTGCGCTTCCATGGTGCTGCTAAGCATTCTCTCCTATTCCTCAGGCACTTGGAGGTCCTATTTCTCAGTCTCTCCTTGTTTGATCTCCAATAGCTACTGCTCCAGTTATCTCATGTGCACACCATCCACATACTGGCAGTTTGTTTGTCTTGTTTTCATAGAGCTTTCTGCATTTCCAGACAGAGGATCCTCTGGTCTTGTGAATTTTTGGATATTCAGTCCCTAATGAGCCCCTTTTGCACTTGTTTTTCCTTCAGGGTGATCCATACCTGGAACCGTTCTCTCAGTTGCCAAAGCAGTCCTGCCTGTGGCAAGAAACGTAAGGTCTCACTGCTCTTTGATCACCTGGATACAGGTGAACTCGCCAACCACCTCAGTTACCTGGAATTCAAGGCATTCTGCCGTCTCTCGGTAAGAAACTGGGCTCTACAAGGGAGTATTAAAAGCTTTGCAAGATGGATGGATGGTAGCTGTGAAAGCCTTCCTCAGCCTTTTACTATCTTGGACTGCAAAACTAGGCTGGTTGAAGATAATGGTAGATATAGGAAGGCACCATGTTGAGGATGGCTGCATATACTATATATTAGATCAATGTTTCTCAGCCTCAGCAACTTTAAGATGTGTGGACTTCAACTCCCAGAATTCCTCAGCCA